AGACACCCAGTAATGTTTTTCGTTGTTTAAATTTGTCTACACTTATTTTGCTATTTTCTAAATGATTTGTTTGTCCTCAGATTATTTTTTCTTTCTTCATTCAGCAATCAGCAAATCCTTATTATATCCGAGACAGTTGCTACTAATGGAGATTTGTAAGATTAATACGTTTTGATTCCTATCATAGATCTCGAAGTCTAGCACAGTGAGGCACTTTTAGGGGTCAGTCCCCTGCCAGGATGCCCACAGAGCTGTCAGGATCCTGAGAGCTATTTTCCCCTTTAACCCATGTCCCATAAACCTCCGTGGAACAACCCAATATAGACCGGTGTATGTAACAATTTGGAATGTATCGTTCCCTTCTCGTCTATAAATAATAATTTACTGCCCAAATCTGGAGTTAGGTCTTATGATTCACAGAAAATTCAAGGCAAATAAAAGCTTCAAATAGCTGCCAAAATCACTTACAACTGTCAAAGCAAAAATCCCATTAGCCAAAGGTGCAAGATCTGAAAGGAAGTTGTTGAGCTTAATGACAGTGCACTTGGCTATAGACCAGAAGCCAAACTATATAAAGAAAACAAAAATGTAGCACGACGATGTTATTTGAATGAATTCAAGATCCGATTTTAGCTTGAAAAACCTTAAAAAAATGGCAGGGGGAACTATTGAGACCCCACCGTTTGTGACAGTTTTGTTTTTAAATTCAAGAGACAAATATTATAAACTGACTTTGCCAATGACATAGGCCTGGGTGTCATGGGGGAAACAGAAGGAAAAGGATGGAGTCTTTCCTTGTATTGGCTCATAATCTAGCAGGAAATAATGGCACTTACAGTGTAATAGTATCACAGTAACTATGCAATGATTACTCTGCGTCAGTCATTGTGCTAGGGTGCTTTAAATTTATAAATAACTTACAGAACCCCTATAAGGTTGGTGAGGTAGGCAGGTACCTAAGTATGATAATGTCATAGAATATGAAGCCCTAAAAGCTCTTATTGCCTAAAGAACGCCTGCTAATTACAGTGGAAAGGGAATGCATGGTGGATGGACGTGGCCTTGAGTTCACACAGTGTGTCCGCCTGCCCCCTAATACACATATAATTTTACACTTTCTCTCTTTGCTATTTATTTTTTTTATGAATTAATAATACCAACCTTGCACCTTTTTAAATGCACATGAAAGATGTGTGTAAAACTTCTTATTGGTAGTTGGCTCTCAATAGAAAGATAAGTGGATTATGGGAACACTCATAAAGGTGATGGTTGATCTTGAAAGATTCCAATGAGAAATAGCAGAAAAAGTTATATGAGCAGCGGTGATACGAACTGGAAGATACCAAGTGTGCTGTGTACGGTACTGAATAGTTCATTTTAATTGTAGCCAAAGGGGTGGGAGGAAGAGGGGTGAGCATCCATCCTGAACAAACAAGCTGATTAGTTTGGGTTCCTTAGATCACAGGTTGACAAACATCTGCCTGCCTGTTTTTGTACAGCTGAAGAGCTCTGGATGGTTTTACGTTTTTTAAGCGATTGAAAAAAAATCCAGAGAAGAATGCGGTGTGATATGTGAATTCAGATTTCATTGCCTATAAATGAAGTGTGATTGGCACAAGGCCACACAGATTCATTTACATGTGGCAGAGAACGTGTGGCCTGCAAAGCCTAATGATACACTATCCTGCCCTTCCAGGAAAAGTTGCCAACCCCTGCCTTAGTTTCAATGTTTTGTTTATTTATTTATTTATTTTTAATCCTAAAGTTCATCATCCTCGGATGGCAATAAATTTAAACAGCCCTACGTTATAGTTTGCGAAAGGCCATTCCAAACAAACTGCTTTTCTCTTTTTGTGTCTCTGACATAGACATCACTTGACAGAGGAAAGAACAGCTTCTAGGGACCTCAGAATGGATCTGTAGAATCACTACTTTGAGTCCGCGTGACTCATATTTGATTCCAGCTGCTTCTGAATCCTTACATATTGCTTGCTCTTGTGGGTGACAGTGCGGGCAGTGTTTTGGTTAAATTTCCAATTATACATGGTCTCCGATGAGATGATGTTTCAAATATTGAAGACGAGCTGTTGAACATTACCTATATCTCCTTCTTGTCTTTCCTCCATTGTCGTTTTCATTTTCTTCCCCCAAGTAGAAACTTTCTCATTAAAACTAATAGTTATGAAACATACTGCTTATATACAAATCCATAGGAAAGAGAAAGAGGAATTAAAATTTTATTGCAAAAGCCTTTTCTTTCTTCAATGAGTTTAACAGCCCTATTTATCACGCCACACCCTTCTTTGAAAACTAGATGTCTGGCTGACTCTGATTTGCTCTGAAAATCGTTTTGTGTGGCAATTCCTCTTGTCTGCAGTTTTGATTCATAGCCTTTCATATAAATTCTTTTATCGCTCGATTTTCATAATAGCTTTTCAGCAGCCAATCATAATGTATGATACTCTGTTTATGACTTGGTGGCATCCAGATGTCTGTACCTCATGTTGTTGCCTTTTACACATTAAAAAAAAAAAAGTTGCTATAAAATAATTGTATGTGTTTGTTCAGTAAACCTTAAATTATTCTGTCAGAAGTCAGTCAAACTTTTACTTGAATATGGAAATATTTGGTATCCCTTTATGGTGAACCTGGATGACATCTTAAAGGTTGAGTTGGTTTTCAACTGTTTTGAAAGGAAATGGTAAAGAGGATTTTCTAAAAACACATTTCATCATACACAAACCCATAATATATGAAAATAAGATTTCTCTCATAATTTGTCAGTTTTGTAAGTAATAATGAGAACAGCCTGAATAGGCGAATACCCACACTATTTGTATGGTTAGAGTTTCTAAGTAAATGTATTTAGGTAAATAAAAATGCTTTGTTTTATTCTTAGCAGGACCTAAATTAAATATCGGATTTATATGTAAAGGCCCAAGAAAATTTTCATGACGAGGTCAGGTTTCTTATAAGAGGATTTACATCGGATGAACTGATGAGTCTTTTAAAAATCCGTTTGCTCTGCCTCATTCTGGATCTGCTGAATCGGAATCTTGGAAGGGGCCAGCCGTGTGTTAGAGCACACCCCAGGAGGTTCTCATTCTCACCTTTGGTTGAGAATCGTTGGGCTAAATATGTTTTTAGATGATAGACAAATGAAAAAGTAGCCATATAAAAATATCGCTGAATTTGTTAATAAGTTGTTGTTTAGAGCGCCATCTACCATGTGCCCCAGTATTATTATATGAAGCCTCAGAGCACATTTAAGCGTTTTCCCCTAGTCATTCCATAAAGTTTTCTGTGGTTAAGAGAAAGAATATACCTGCCTGTTTCTTCCCTCACCTCCCACTTCGGCCACCAGGATTCTCTGGGGAAAAGGTATAGTTCAGTTTTAAGGTTCCTGTAGCCTAGATATCTACTTTCTGGGTTTTTTTCTAATTCAACAAGAACTTACTGAGCCTCTTCTATGCACTGAGGTCATAATAGGCGCCGAGAACGCTAATAATGGACAAAACAGTTTGGAGCTTACATTCTGCTGGATGAGACAGATGTTAAGCAAATATTTCAGTAAATGTTTCGTGGTCCACATATTATAAACCCATTCTGATTATTGATTTATATACTCTTCCCTCAGTATTGACCAGACAGGAGCCATGGAATCTTTTCATGTAAATTTATGTACAAACAGATGTACACACACACACACACACACACATATCACACACACAGTATGTATGTATATATGTTTTTATATATACATGAGTATATCTGTGTATGTTATACTTTCTATAAGTAGTATATACATATATGTTGCATATAGAGAGAGCGTGTGTATACATATATCCTAATGTATAAACACATTGTTTTATTTATTTTAATCAGCATCACATCCTTGTGGGAGAAGGTGAAATATATTCACACCTGTATGTGTTCACACACATATGCTCAGAGACATGGGTGGATTTGGGTTACAATTCTCAACTTTACATTTTAGCCCATTTTTACTAGTGCTTTTTTAAATTAAATATTGACAAGTAACTTATGCTTTATATTTGACAGTATTTCTGTCAGTTTCTTTACAATTTAAATGTTTTGTTTTACATCGTTAAATGTAAAGATTCGGGGCACTTTTCAGTGCCAAGATAGAGACTGAAAGTCACAAAAAACTGTGGCTCTCTTTATCCTCTGAAGAAAGAGAAGCGTGTTATTCTCATGAAAGCTTTCCATGCTGTGTACGTGATTCTTTTGTTCACAAATGGTGCTTCGCTAATTCCTCTTACAACTTTTTAAGCTACCACATGGTTTGACTCCGGTCACTACTTTCAAGGATAGCGTTAGCAGTTAATCCTCGTGAAAAGTTATAGAATAGAGATTCTAGAATATAAATGACAATCATCTGATATAAATAGAGAGAGGTATGGTGTACCCTGGAGGAATGGTGGAGAGAGAAACTGTGGGGACTTTCGTCGAGAAGAATCTGTCTTCAGAGCATCCAACCTCACCATGCCTCCGCTGCCGCTGCGGCTGCCTTGAGAGAACATGAACCCTCACCATTGTCATGGAGTCCACGAAATCAATGAAAATGACCTTTTAAATGAGAAATTCAGTGGAAAGTTATCTCTCTCTTCCTTTTTAATGTGCCCCCATGGAGAGTGTGGTTAAATTTCATGGTCGAAGAATATTACATTGATGTCCCTCTAGGAAAAATGTTTTAAGTCTTATCTCTCATCTTTGAGATAATATCCTAAAGACCTGTATTGGCCATGCAGTGTACGGCAGCAGAGAGGATTAAGTTAGCTCAAAAGCACTTAGCATCGTCTATGAGCCAGCAAAGCAGAGAGGATTCTGATTGGCATGATTATTTATTACTTTTGAATGCCGATGGTGCATTTTTTTTTCGTGGCTGAGTCCTTTCCATGTTTATTGACATTCATAAATGAAAAGGCTTTACTGACTACTTAATTGGTAATTTAATTTTCCTAATAACCTTCTTGCAGGACCTGGACTTTGAAGCCAAAACGAGTTATACACTGCGGATAGAAGCTGCAAACAAAGATGCTGACCCTCGTTTTCTAAGCTTGGGGCCGTTCAGCGACACCACGACTGTGAAGATAATCGTGGAAGATGTGGATGAGCCCCCTGTGTTTTCCTCACCCCTGTACCCCATGGAGGTGTCAGAAGCTACCCAAGTTGGGAATATCATCGGCACTGTAGCAGCTCACGACCCAGATTCTTCCAACAGCCCTGTGAGGTAACAGCTTCTTCCTCTCTGTGTTTACAATTCTCCCACTGTGTGCTTTATTCCCAGCTCATGTTCTCTGCGTGATGGTGCTTTCGGTTCAGAGCAGACACAAACCAATTTTGCATATGTATTGAGCCATAGCAGGAGAAGTGAAACGGAATCGGCACAACTCCACGTTGTACTAATTCAAAATGTGTCACCTGATTCTCCAAGGCCATTATCGTGCAGCAGTGTTTTGAGCCATCCATTATTATCCGTCAGACATAGCTGATGTCCCTATTCAACTAGTTATCCCGAGCTCTTTCAAAGCAAACTGTGTTCACAGGTGAAGTGATGCCTGTCCTAGTTATAGGACATGCACATCTGTCAGAAAGCTGATTTGTAAGTAGTGGAAATCAGGGATGCATTTTTAGACAAATCATTTGTTTCACTTTAGTCTATTTGGATAGTACATGTTTATTAGGATTATTATTTTCACTTGTTAAAATACAATAATGCCTTATCTGTGTGTAAGGGCTATTTTAAAACGTCCTTCCATAACTCCTGTACAGAGACTAGACACATTGCTAGAACCAGCTAATCTCCAGGGCTAACAGAATTTAGTCCCGAAGCATTTCGTAACATCACGATATTCTGGTTCATACTTTTTACCTATAATTTATAATCTGAAGTCTTCATGTATGTTTTTGTGTATGCATGTGTTTGTGTGCATGTGATAAATTATGTCTTTTTAAGTGAATATTATACATAGAATACACTTGAAGTTACTCTGTAATGCATGGTGTAGTTTGGGTTCATAAGTGAGACTTCAGCGTGACAGTCTGGATTTCTGTGACAAAGTCTGTGAAGTATAAAAATCGATGAATGTTTTATATTCAGATATGTTCAATAAGCTAATCACAGGCTTTTAGGTTTAAGCGAGACAACAATTCTAAGCGCTTTTGAGGTGACTTCTTATATAAGTCTGGACATTGACCATAAAGTTTCATGGAAATATAATTTAGACAATGATCGTTAATTAAGAAAAGCTCATAATTTTAGCTCCCTAAAATTATATGCTGATTGCTAGCTAGCATATAATTGCTAGCTATCCTTTATCTGACAATAATATTATAGCCTAGTAAAGCATGGGCATAAAATAATTGTTATTTCAAAACTGAAGTCATAGTCATCGTTTCTCTATATAAGAAATTCAGGCTACTTAGATGGCTCTACTTTAAGTGCAGTGATCGCAAACTGTTTCTAAGAACATATTCTCCTGTGCGCTAGAATATGCGAGTCATAAACATACCGGGTAGAATAAGCCTCCCCTCCTCCCTGTTAATAGCCCAGCCTTCATTGTCAGAACAGCTCCCTGGGCTAAGCTCAGCTCCATCCCCCAAGTCGTATTGACGTGCACACTCGAATCTGGGTTTTGTTATAGCACTGTGGTCTCTTCGTGACACACTTAAGTCTCCTTCCCTCACAATCAGCCAACCACAGCCCAGTTGTAGGCACAGGCCAACTGCCCGGGATAGTTTGACTTCTACTTAAATCATTTTGTTTAATTAATAGGGAGAAAGAGAGAATGCTTTCATGAAGTTGGGAGTATGGAAAAGGAAAGAGATGCACTAATAAATATCATAATTCAGGACTTAAATGTATAAGAGGATTTAAGTTCATTTTGATTTGTTGCAATGATAGTTTTACCTTGTTTCTTATTTTGCCTTTACCCATTTCTTGGTCTCTCATTCTGTTAAAGCCTTTTAGTTCACTTTTTAAAACATTTTATTTGACAATAAATGTAGTGTTATGTAATCATTTGGGGAAGAAGAAGGAAGAATAGGCTCAGGTGAGAAGTGACTTGAGTTGGAGATGAAGCGAGCTCCAGCCGTGCTCCCTGAGGCACAGAGCTAGAGGGTAAAGGGCGAACTCCGCTGATTTTGGAGGTAAAGCTCTCTGTGGCCTTTGTAAATGTAAGAGGAGCTGGCTGGCCCCAGATTCCTCCCTGTTTTCATTATCTTAAGGCTAACGAAGGTGACAACTTAACATTTCAGGTTAATATTTTACCATCTTGTGTCATCCTCTGACTCTAAATCTCACAATTGAGAGAGACGAGGCTTTGTTCAGAGTGCACTAAAATGTTATTTCATGTGAATATGTTTTTTGCTTTTGTAAAATTTCTTGACTTACATTTAATTCTTGTCTTGAAACATTTATTTCCCTTATACAATTTTTTTTAAGGTCAGCAAAGTCATTCACAGCTTATATTTTTCTGGATTTCTCTCTGACATATTTCTCCTCTCCTACCCATCCGTGACATTTTTTAAGCCGGTGTCCTCGTTTCGTAGTTTGGCGAGCAGATGAGTCCACTTCTGCATTCTCGACAGGACCGGTTCTCTTTCCAGCACTGCTGTTTGCCGAGTGACCTAGGGAATGTCACTCAGCTTGCTAATTTTTTTATATGTCCCAGTAAAATTGAAAAAACACCCTTATCTCTGCCTTATCCCAGGTTTTCTGAGGATTAAATAAGAAAAGGAAAGTAACCTATGCTTTTAAACACCGAATCATGACTTCAGTATTGGAAGTAGTAGCATTACACATTGCTACTATTATAGCCTACTGCGTTTTCATGCCATTTTTATTTCAAAGTCAACATCATATTTACAAGTAACTATATTGGTAATCTACATTGAAGATTGTTTTGTATTCACATTTGTTCCGATATATAGAAAAAATTATGAGGTTCTTTAATGGACACAAGCACGAATTTACATTAAGCATGCAAGTGTTTTTATCAAAATATAAGCCTGCCTTTAACAAACGTCAGTGCATGGGTAGATGGCACAGTCTTCTGAGATCCTAGGAAAAGTGTTCTTCAGGTCGAGATGGAGCCTGAAGAGTCTTAAAATTGTAAGCTTTGTGCTTCTATACCTTTAGAAATAGTGTAGTTCTTAGAGGAACAGAAAAGTAGTATGTGTTTCAATGTAATTGTTTAAAATTAGGCTGTTAGGATTTGAATTGGAAAACAGTATGGGAAGCTGGATAATTAGTGTTTAAGTTTATTAACATTCTTCGTAGTATAATACTGAAATCTATCCTATGTCATTTGTATTTGGAACATTTACTGATATGTGGAACAAGAGATTAGAATTCTAGAAAGACACGCATTGACTTGCTTCCAGCAAGGTAAAATTGAGGTCGTTTTCCCACATGATCCCTGCCTTACCCAGCATTTTAAAATGTTTGCCTACTTTTGGCATCAGCCAAAAGCTATGCATAACTCTTCTTTGTGCATCAGCTCTTGTCTTAAAAAAGGAATGGGGCATTTACACCCCCGCACAGCGTTTGGACTATTTAGAGGCGTAGTAGCAATAGATAGAAAGATGAAACGAACACAGAGGCCAGCGACTGGCCGAAATAGATCGCCGTCGTGGAGCGTCACATCCTTGTAATGCCTCACCCACCATTTCGTGGACACTTTCGCTCTTTTTTCTTTTTTCATGTGGAAGCTTGAAGCCAAAGGTGGAAATTATGTGATGCCTGAGGTTACTTAGCCAGAAACAACGTAAGCGACTTTTTTTGAAAGTCAAAGTGGATAATCGATGGCCAGCATCTTTGTCGTTTTATTTTTATTTTACGTACTAGTTACTGACCATTTTATGAAAATGTCGGCCCTGAATACCGAATGTCAGGCTTTAGCTATTGAACTTGCAAGGGCAGATTGTGCTCTGCAGATACCGATCATCTTTCCGAACAGGAGAAACTTCACTTCTGCTTCTCATCAATAAGACGGCAAAGCTGTAAGAACAGCCTAGAGCTAGGGGACTGTTCATTCCTCGGGTCAGGACTGGTAGACGGATCAAATGAATCAGCACCCACGTGCTAAGAGCCCGCTTTGCGCCTGATGCTAGGAAAGAGACTGACAAGGAAAACAAAGATGAAGAAAACATTTCTTCTGACCTCAAGGAACTTACAATCTGGTTGAAAAATAAGATCCCATCAAAGTTAAACAGTACAAGGGAGAAAAGTGTCAGAAGCTGTGGCATGGCACACTGTGAGACAGAGACTCACCACTCCGCGTTCCCTGGACGTGAGACTTCATATGAAGAATGAAAGCAGAAGCAGGCTGCGCGGGGATGGCAGGATTTGAACAAGCCGAGAAAATATTATGCAAAGTCTGTGTATGTTTTATTTAGTTATACCCTCAGAGTCTTGTGCTGTCATGAAATCAGCAAATTTATTCCTGTGGGCGGTACAGTAAGCCCGAAGTCCCTCTGCCGAAAAGAGCCAATGAATTGCAACATAATTTTATTATGAATAAGATCAGATGTGATGGGGGTCGGGGGGGGGGCAATGCGACTAAAAATTAACGAGGATCATTGACAGCATTTCTAACCATTTAAATACAGAATTATGTTTATATTTATAATTCAAGGACACTGGGATAATATTTATCTGCTGG